ATATTATAGCATGAGTCAAAATTTCTTTCCTTTTTAAGGCTAAATAATATTCCATTGTATGAATGTACCATGTTTTGTTTATTCATTCATCTGTTGATAGACATTTGAGTTGCTTCCACTCCTTCACTATTGTGAATAATGCTCCTCTGACCATGGATGTACAAATACCTTTTTGAGTCTTTGCTTTCAGTTCTCTTGGGTATATATCCAGAAGTGGAATTGTTGGCTAAATGGTTTAAATTTTTTAATATATGGGTGGATTAACTTTGTTAGTAGTTTGTTGAAATTTTTTCCATCTATATTCATTCATCAGGGATATTAATCTATAATTTTCTTGTGATGTTATTACCTGGCTTTGGTATCAGGATAGTACTGACCTCATGGAATGAGGTAAAAAGTATTTCCTCCTCTTTCATTTTTTGGAAGACTTTGAGAAGGGTTGGTGTTCTTTTTTATTAAAAAAAATTTTTTTTCAGTTTTATTTATTTTTGAAAAAGCGGGAGAGTGTGAGCACACACGAGCAGTGGGAGGGGCAGGAGGAGAATCACAAGTAGGCTCTGCTGTCAGCACAGAGCCCAATGCGGGGCTTAGTCCCATGAACTACAGGACCATGAGCTGACATCAAGAGTTGGACACTCAATTGACTGAGCCACCCAGGTTGCTCCAGTGTTATTTTTTCTTTAAATGATTGGTAGAATTCACCAGTCAAATCATGTGGTCCTGGGCTTTTCTTTGCTGGGAGTTCTATGACTCCTGATCATAACTTCTTTGTGTTATGCCTTCATTAAATTAACATTTATTAGGTGGAGCACAAGGTGCTGGTTGGTGAGCCACGGTTTGGTAACAGATCACAAGAGATGTTGAAACAGAAAAGTTTTTACTCACAGGTCCTAGAGGAATTACAGGACATGCCGTCAGGGGCCACATCAAGAGGTCAAGGCAGAGTACAGAGAGAGGCAGAACCTGGGTTAAAGTACCTTTATTAGGTAGGGTTTGTGGGTGGAGTGCTTTGGAGTTCCTGGGCTGGGGCTAGATTTGTCCATTCAAACAAAAAGAGCAGTGTTTTTGTGAACTCCATCAAGATTTTTATCCTGATGGGTAAGGGACACTTAAAGCATACAGGCACTGGGAACCAGGAGAGACCATTGATCACAAGTCCTGTCATTAATTCATGTAAGCAAACTTACATTTACTTGTGTCTCTGTGGCCTGCTTGTTAGGACACGTGCTTCCCTTAGAGGTCTAGAGTCTGTTTAAGGTCCTTGCAAACAAAACAAAATGTGTTGACCACACAAACAAACAAAATGACCAAACAAAATGTGTTGCTGAGGTAGCAATTCCATGGAGTAGTTTAGCTAATCAACAACTTAACAACTTGTAGGTTTGTTCAGATTTTCTATTTCTTCTTGAGCTGTTTTGGGGAGTTTTTGTGTTTCTGCAATTTCCATTTTATCTAGGTTATCTGATTTATTGGCATACAGTTGTTCACATCTTCTGTAATACTTTTTATTTCTATAAGCTTTGTAATGTTCCCATTTTCATTTGACTTTAGTGTGCTTTTGAGTCTTCTTTTGTTCTCTTAGTCTAAGCTTGAGGTTTGTCAATTTTGTTGATCTTTTCAAAGAACTAACTTTTGTTGATTTTCTCTATTGTTTTTGTATTCTCTATTTGGATCTCAGGTCTAATATTTATTATTTTTTCCCTTATTTTGGGCTTAGTTTGTTCTTTTTCTAGTGTTTTAAGGTGGAAGTTTAGGTTATCGATTTGAGCCCTTTATTACTTTTTAAAAAAAATGTAGATGTTCACCACTGTAAATTTCCCTCAGCCCTTTTTCACTGTATTCTGCATATTTTGATATGTTGTATTTTCATTTTTAATCATCTCAAAGTATTTAATAATTTTCCTTGTGATTTGTTCTTTGACCCACTGGTTGTTTAAGAGTATGTTGCTTACTTTGCAGTTTGTGGATTTTCCAAATTTCCTTCTGTTATTGATTTCTAGTTTCATTCCGTTGTGGTCAGATAAGATACTTTGTATGATTTCAGTTTTTAATAATTTACTGAGACTTGTTTTGTGGCTGAACATATGGTCTAGCTTGGAGAATGTTCCATATGCACTTGAGAAGAATGTCTATATGGTTGTGTTAGGTGGAACAATCTGTATATGTCCGTTAGGTCTAGTTGATTTATAGTATTATTCATGTCTTCTGTTTCCTTGTTTATCTTTTGTATGGCTGTGCTATCTGTTGTTGAAAGTGGGATGTTGACATCTCCAGCTATTTCTCACCTTAGTTTTGTCAGTTTTTGCTTCATATATTTTATTATATATTGTTAGGTACATATATGTTTATAATTACATCTTCCCGACCCTTTTTTCGTTATACAATGTCGTTGTCTCTTGTAACATTTTTTGTCTTAAAGTCTATTTGTCTGATATTAGTATAGACACTCCAGCTCTCTTTTGGTTATTGCTTACATGTAATATCTTTCTGTCCTTTTTATTATTTGTGTTTTTGTTTCTAAAGTGCAACTCCTGTTGGGGCGCCTGGGTGGCTCAATCAGTCTAGCGTCTGACGCTTGGTTTTGGCTCAAGTCATGCTCTCAGGGTTCTTGGGTTCAAGCCCCGCATCAGGCTCTGCCCTGACAGTGCAGAACCTGCTTAGGATTCTCACTCCCTCCCCTCTCTCTGCCCCTCCTCCGCTCACACTTTCTCACTCAAAATAAAAATAAATAAACTTGAAAAAAAATGAAGTGCAACTCTTGTAGATATCATATTGTGGATCATTAAAACCAAATCCATTCTGCCAATCTCTGCTTTTTAATTGGAGCATTTAATACATTTACACTTAATTAATTATAGAGACAGAAGGACTTCTGATTTTCTATTTGTTTTCCTATATCTTGTTTCTCTATTTCTCCATTACTACCTTCTTTTGTGTTAGATGTTTTCTCATATAACATTTTTTTATTTCTTTCTCATTTCTCAGACAATGTATCTTTTAGTTATTTTCTAGTGGTTGCCCTGGGGATTACAATCAGGATTTTAATTTATGACCACATAGTTCAAATTAATACCAATTTAGTTTTAATATTACACAAAAACTTTTCTTCCAAATAGCTCTGTACCCCCACTTTTATGTTATTGTGACAAGTTACATCTTTATAATTGTTTGCCATCAAGATAGGTTTACAATTGTATCATGTATTTTTCTTTTTCTTTTTTTTTAACGTTTATTCATTTTTTGAGAGAGAGAGAGAGAGAGAGAGAGAGAGAGCGAGCACAAACAGGGGAGGGGCAGAGAGAGAAGGAGACACAGAATCAGAAGCAGGCTCCAGGCTCTGAACTGTCAGCGCAGAGCCCACCACAGCACTTGAACTTATGACCATGAAATCCTGACCTGAGCTGAAGTCAGATACTTAACCGACTGAGCAACCCAGGCGCCCCTATCATGTATTTTTCTAATTGATTAATTTTTAAGTGCTAAACCAGTATTGCATTCTTAGAATAAATTCAGTCAATAATGACATGTTATTGTTTTATCTTTATATTATTGGTTTAATTTGCTAATATTCTGCTAAGGATTTCTGTGTCTGTGTTCATGAGGGATTTTGGTCTATAATTGTGTGTGTATGTGTTTTTGTCAAGTTTTAGTATCAGTAATGCTGCTCTTGTAAGTTGGAAATTGTTCTCTTTTCCTGTATTTTATTTTATTTTAATTTTTTTTGTTAAGTTGGTGTTATTTCTTTTAAGTTTATTTATTTTGAGAGAGAACACATACATGTGAGTGAGTGAGAAAGGGGGAGAGAGAGAGAGAGAGAGAGAGAGAGAGAGAGAGAGAGAGAGAGAGGGAGAAAATCCCATGCAGGCCTCACACTCCCTGTGGAGCCTGACACAGGGCCCAAACTCATTAACTCTTGAACTGTTGAGATCATGATCTGAGCCAAAACCAAGAGTCAGACGCTTAACTGACTGAGCCACCCAGGAGCCCCAAATTGATGTTATTTCTTAAATGTTTGATAGAATTCATCAATGAAACCTTTTGTATCTAGATTTCTTTTTTTGTGGGAAGCTTTTCAATTATTTATTCACTTAAAAAATAGATACAGGATTGTTCAGATGTTTCATTTCCATTTTGGCATGTTGACTTTTTCTAGAGGGTATCTGATTCATTTTGTTAGCATAAAGTTGTTCATATTCTAATAACCTTCTACTGTCTCTGGCAATGTAACTTTAAAAAAATGCTTATATTAGCGTTGTAGCAAACATTTATATAGTACTTATTACGTACTTTTCACTTTACAAATATTAACTTTTTTAATTTCCACAGGAGTTGGTGAGGTAGATAATGTTATCATTTCCATGAATGAAGAATTTCTATGAATGAAGAAACAAACCAAAGTTAAACTAAGAGAGTTAAGGTGCCTTGCTCAAGATTACAGAGCTGCTGTATTAAGGGCTTAAATTGTAATCCAGGTGGTCTGGGTGCAGAGTCTTTTTCTTGACTACTGTTTACTATGCATTTCTTAAGTGACAGGTACCTGTTCTATTCTTCTTATGGAATTCTGCTATGTTCTCTTTAGAAATCATCCTTTCTTCTACCACCTGTATTTCACTAAGTAGAAATGTTTCTGGTATTCCTAATTAGAACTTGGAATGGCTTTTTCCTCCATAAAAACATTATATATGATGGCTACACATTACTTGAAATATTATTGTTAATACTCTTCTTCAGTCACATAATATGTTAAAAAGACTTCTGGGACTTCCCTGGGAAGTTCACCACAATCTAATGTGAAATATGACTTCTGTGGGAAAATACTAGAAGATACTTATTTTAAATTCACTTACCTTTTAAGTATGGGAATTGTACTTTTTGAAATAACAATTTGAATTTACTGAGGTGTTTCTAAATCATAATTTTTAGAAGACAGACATTAAGATTAATTTTTACACATATTTTATTGTTTTACTTTCATTAATTTGTTGATTAATGTCTTTCAGGGATATTCAATTGCTCAGAAGAATATTCTTCTTCAGGTGGATCAGAACTGTGTTCGCAATTCTTATGACGTCTTCTCTTTGCTGCGGTAAGAAACTTCTCAAACTGCCTGCATTTTCTAAAGAATGTTCCTCATTTTGAGTTTGTGACATTTCTGTGTGAGGAAATGTATGGGAGCTTTAGAAGTTGTTATTCAGGCTTAGCATTTTTTTGTGAGAGCTTCATAAATTTTGTAGCTACAGTGATTTAAGTTTATCTGTTTCTCAAAGCCTTTGGAAAGCCATTTCCTTTCTCTGGACAGTGGGAGAGAATGATTGGAAGCCAGTGATCTCAAAACAGGGACATGAGCTGTTTTCCGGTTTTCTGTACTATAAAGAGCAGCAACCAGAGGTACAGAATTTAGACTTATCAAAATCTTAACAACTACAACATTACTAAAAAAGCCCTCCAATAGCCCCAGAGATGGCTTAGATCTTTGACCTGCTGTTCATCTTAAAAGAATCATATTTGGCAAGGCACAGGAGCTTTGCATGAATCTCAGGCTCAGAGGCTTAACTAAATGCCTTAACTCTATATTTTCATAATGTCTGGGCTTAATTTTGAAAATTTTCTAAATTTGTTTTTAATTTTCAAAGTGGTAGATCATCAAGGACATTTTCCCAGGAGGCAGGCAACCAAAATAAATGCAGTTCAAAATAAAGGTAACAGTGACATTCAGCCTATGTTCACCCTACTTAGACAGATGGTTCATTGAAATTTGATTTTGGCAGCAATTTTCTAATGTTTACATAACACATCATAAATTTCAGACCATTAGACATCCTCAATATATCTACTAGAGGAAGAGTCCAGAAGGATGGTTGGACTCTTGTCCAATTGGATGATTGTTTATTTTATAAACATTATGGAATGGGCCTTTCCTTTGCAAATCTTGAATCTTATTATACATGATGATAAAGTTTGGTCACATGCCTGTGTAAATTGCTCTTAAGAGACCATGATTTCAACTATAGTGACCACAAGCATTTGATGACTTTTGATTCTTATCTGGAAAGTATTTCCCCTTTGACTTCTTAGGATATGTAAGAAAATGGACAGGATTGGTAACTGGATGGAAAGCAGGAGGTGTCAAAATATATAACTCATAGTTTTGAGCCTATTCGGTTTGGGAGTACATTGAGTTTTAAGTATTAAAAAGAAGAATGTACAGAAATAGTTTGAAATTTGGGTAAGCCACTGATATTTCTTGACCTGCCTTTCTCAGTGAAATGAGGGTATGGATATTACTGTTTTAAAGATACTTTCCAAGTGTGAGATGGTGTGATCTTATTAGAGAAATCCAGAGAATTAAAAGAAAAAGAAATATGAAGTCTGTGAAAAGAGGAGGATTTGGGCAAGGCGGCATCATAGAAACTAAGAGAATAGAGATTCAGGCAGTATTGAACGCTCTCTAATGGGATAGGAAAATAAGAACTGAAGAAATACTGTAGGATCTTGGGAAGCAGCATGGTGTAAAAGAGAATGCTTTGGTTAATTTGACCCTGACTTTAGTTATCCCTGGTTTATCTGAATTCATTTAACTTCTCGGATTCTTCTAAAAGGTGGGAAGCAGCAATGTTATAAATTTGTGTAATTTATATGCATTCCCACAGTTATTCTCTTACTGTCTTAGAAGCTTTTTGTGTTCAGACATCAGGGATCAGCCCTTGTCTTCAGTGTAGAAGCTGAGGCCAAGAGGTGTTAAATGATTAATCTGAGAGCACGCAGCAAGTAAGAGCTAGACTGGAAGTTGGTGTGAAGGTTTTCCGGCAAGCAGGTTTTGCAGATCCTTTTCAGAGTCTTACGTTTCTAGATTGGTGGTTGTTAAGGTTGTTATAAGGTGCACATAGCATAATGACAGGGAAATTTTTTTGAAAATCACAGAGCCCTCCATGAATTCAAAATCATCAGATGGATTTGGTAGTTAGTTGCTCATTTATTTAACATTGATTTTTGCAATGATAATATGTCTTAGGGGTTTTATTTCTAAGATGCTTTCCAGATTCCTCAGGGGTGTCAGCAGTTTGAAATGCCTTCTTAGCAGTGGCCTTCTCATTACCACTGTGTAAATCATTTATAGCTGGTAACATAGATGTATTCTTTTGAATCAGGTCAAGCGCCTGTGTATCAACCAAATTACCTGAGCCCGGAGAGTTACTCTGGAACTAGAAACTTTACATTGTACTTGTCAACATTAAGGAGTAAGATGGAACTTTTTCTGATAATTCTCTTAGACATTAGTAAGAGTAAACATCATTTATCTGCTAAATTAAAACTTCTTTTTTTCTCATAGTTCTCGCCATGATTTGTGTAGAGTGCTTTCTGGGAAATTTAATTTTGTGCTGATTAGCTTTGTTCAGTTTCCCTTCTTTTACTCAGTCAACATTGGTGATGGAGTAATTTTTAAAAGTAATATGTTTTTCTTTCCCTGATGCCTTTTTTTGGTGTATGAAATTGTTACTTCTTGATCGGTAATTTTATGTGAAAACACAGAGTCTGAATTCTTTAATGTCTCTTAACTTCACAAAATTCTCAGTGTCATTTGGTGTCAGGACTAAACCCAGATCTCTTGATTGTTTTTTGAGAGTATATTCTAGTTAATGATTTTCATTATGTTGTTCTGCCACTAGGATGCCTATATTCCTTCCAGTTTTTAAATGTGAATGCCTCGGAAAAATAGGAAATCTTGACTAAGGCAAGGATTTTGCAGCACCTACAACCAGAGCATTAGAACCCCACGTCAGATGTGTTGTGACATTTCGTAGGAAGACAGTGACCTGAGGTTTTATTCAGAGTTTTCCTCCCTTACTTAAAAACGTAGGCTAATTTCAGTGTTACCAAAGTAATAGCAGCTCTTTCCAAATTTACGTGCAGTGTGTGTGATGGTAATTAAATTTGTGCTTCTCTAACCCTTGGAAATGCCTGGATTAAGTGTTCCACTTACTTAGGAGCCACTTTACTCTTTACATTCGATACCTTAAATTAGGATGTTCACCACAAGGTGTCAATGTTGCTCTTTGACTGGCACTTGAAATTTCATTTATTTTATGGTTTTGAACTGAGACAAGTTGGATTATAAAGTACAAGTGAGCATTTATTTTTAGAAGTTAACTTTTTTTCCTCTATTATTCCTTCTAGGTTAAATAGTTCCTAGGCTTGTTGGATAACTTTCTTCTCTTCGTTCTGTTGATTTTTCAAATCCTGTTGGTGATACGGAGTTATTGAAAGATTAGAAGGAGAAGGAGTGATGTGGTTGGTGTGCAATTGAGATCTCTAGCTGTGGGGACAATGTGCGATCAGCGGGATGAGGCTGGAAGTGGGAGACAGCTGTAATCCGGTGTGTTCTCTGAGACTGAAAGATTACTTTTGATTTTTAAAAACTCATTTTTTTTTTTTGTTCCTTTCATGCTTCCTCAAAAAGGGTAGCTCTACTGTAGTGAGATAATCTTGGTGTTCTTCTAGTAGTTTTTATTGGCCCTCCCTCTTCTTGACATGACCTGCTTTTGCCAGTTTAAGAAGTGGAAGTATGGTGAAGGCTCATGGGCCCTCCACCTTCGTTCCAGTCCTAATAGTGTCGTAGGCCCATAACTGGATGCAAACCTTTGGGCAGATTACTTCGGCATGCCTCAAACCACTGGTGTAAAATGGCAATATTTTTCTCATAGGGATATCATGAGAATTAAATAAGGTAAAAGACGTAAAAGGTCCTAAGACAGTACTGACATAGAGTAGACATTCAATACAGAATAGTTTTCATTTTCCCCTTTCCTTCCCCCATCTTGGAATTCGCTTTCTTCTCAGTGCCAGTGCTCTGTTTTTATATTAGCATTAACTTTTTCAATCTTCAACATAATTTCTCTTTCTTTTCTTGCCATTCTAATGTCTACCACCCAACCTCTGCTTTTAGAGTTCCTTTTATAAATCCTGAACAAACAATCACAATAAAATTATTTAACGGGTTTATGTCTTTTCTCCCCAGCAACATTGAAAACTTCTTAAAGGAAGGGATTATTTCATATGGCTATATTTTGTTCTCTCTTTCGGTCTTACTGACAATTCGTGGTTATGTTGGAGTTCCCATGGATGCTGTTGTGACCCTGGAGACTTAGGTCCTGTGGATCCTATGGCTCTTCTGCTTTATTCTTTCTCCCTGAGTGCTCTCTTCCATGACTACACCTGTACCCAGCACACCCTCATGTTAGTAACTCTCAAATCTGTACCTCTAGTTCCTTCCCCTCTTTTGGATTTCTGGTCTGTATTTTCTAGTGACCCTTAGACATTTATACTTTCATGTTCTGTAGGAATCTCAGCCCTAACGTGTCCAGAGCTACACTCATTGGTGTAATACTTCTCTTCCTTTTCTTTTCCCTGGATGTCTGATGTCCTATATATCATCATCTCAGGCATCCAAGGAACATACCCCTCTTTATTCCCATCTCTATTTTCTGGGACTGTTTCCTGACCTCCCAGCTAGTCTCCCTACTACCAGTTTTTCCTGCATGCGATTGGCTGCTATTATTTATTGAACAGTTACTTTCTGCCAGGAACTTTTCTCAGTGCTTAGCATTAATTAACTCTCTTAATTTTACAGCAACTCTCTGTGTTGAGATCTGTTTCTATACCTGTTTAACAGATGAGGAAATTGAGGCACAGAGTAGTTTAGTAGCTTGTCCAAGGTCACACAAGTAGTTCCTGTTAGCCTGTATTCAAATCCAGAAACTCTAGTTCCTGAGCCCATATTCTTAATCAGTATATTTTACTCCTTTCTAATCTTTTATATTGATTTGGTACAATTTATGTGCCACATTGCTGCCAGAGTATCCTTTAAAAGAAAATACCGGTTTTGCTACTCATTGGGCCTAGAAATCTTTGAGCCATCACATACAGGATATAGTCCACAGTTGTTGTTGTTGTTGTTCTTCTTCTTCCTCTTCTTTTTAAAGTGTCTTTATTTATTTTGAGGGGGAGAAGGGGCAGAGAGAGGGAAGGAGAGAGAACCCCAAGCAAGCTCCACGCTGAGTGCAGTGCCCAGTGGAATCCAATGTGGGG